TTTCTAAAACAAATTCAGTGACATTCAAGTCAGAGATTGAACAAATTGCTCTAGGAGATCAACTCATTGAGAGCAAGTCTGTCACGAAATTTCTTGGTGTTCACATAGATAGCAATTTGAAGTTTGACCATCATATATCAGCTCTTTAGAAAAAAATATCAGCTGGCTGCTTCGCAGTCAATGTGATATCCCGTGAACTTGGATTGCAAGCTTCAATATCAGCATACTACTCACTTATTGAATCGCATCTACGGTATGGAATTTCATTCTGGGGGTGTAGCTGTCATGGTCTCTTAAATAGTGTTTTCGTCCTTCAAAAACGAGCTCTGAGATTTGTATTCAAACTCAAGCCGCGAATTCTCCTCCACTGACATGTTCAAGGAGATTGATCAAGAACTCTAAAAGTAGTCATTATTGATGATGAAGTGTGTACGAAGGCTTAACTCCGTAGCTCAAACGGTTCCTGATATAGCAGCAAAAAATAGATTTTTTTGTATTTTTTTGGCGCCCTGTATCTCGAAAACGTAAGCCCGGAGAAAAATTTCGCAAGGGAAAAAAATGTTTCTTTTTTCATGAGGAATCTACAGTTTTCCGTTGTGACATTTATTTGTTAACACCCTGTATAGTGTGAAATTGAGATCGTTTTTTTACGTTAGCATATAGTGTCAGGTTTATTTTTCAGTCAACAGAAATTCATGCTTTCATGTCGGCAAATATGCTACAATATTTCAGGCAGAAGTCTCCGTAATTGAATTGTGTGCAAGGGAGTTTTGTGTATCGTATCAGACAGAAAGACTACTCTTAAAGAATGAGCTGCAACAAGATTAATTTTCAATCTCGTATGGAACTCTATTTAGGACAGTCATATTAGCAAAAATAGAAAAAATAAATGGTCATATGCTAAAAATTGTTAAAGAACTTCAACTTAGCCTCCTTCTGAATGTACCAAATTTCGGGACGCTGATTCTAATGTTTTCCTCTCATATCTCAGTGCATGTTGATCCTATCGTATTGAAGTTCATCATATGAATAAATTGATGCCCATCAAATTTCTTTTGAAAAAATGTCAACAAAATGTTGGTCTATTCTCTCACTCGAGATTGATTGGATTCATGAACTATACACTATACACAAAACTCTTATAGAAAGCAAGAGTTTCAAAGCCGATTCCTGAATTCAGTCGCAAAATAAACCAACCTACACATTCTTAACAAATAATTCAGTGAATATTTCTCAAGGGATTTCTACAGTAACAGGTTGTAAAATAGAGGAATAAAACTCAATCATTTTGAATCTTTTTAAATCAACAAACTCGAAAATTCTAACATTTTACTTGCCTATCAACTAGACCTCAATAGGTCACCATTGTTGACTTTGTTTTCTTAGTATGTATTAATATGTATTTGCTATCAACTCTTTCAAGTTATAATCCGGTACACCGTATTTTAATGTAGATATTGTGCCTATTTTCCGGAAATTAAGGTTTATCGAACTGTTCCATTTGGTTGGGAAAGTAGGATATATGAAAGTTAGGCAAGCCAAGGTTAGTTTAGTCCATTGTACAGGGTGATTCACCATAAATGTCCCCCCCTCTAGCTCAGTTATTTTTGAACCGATTTCAAAATTTTTGATTACACTGAAATGATTTTCGATAGAGTTCATTTCCGCTACATCAGAAAATACAAGGTGCTCGGAACAAACGATCTACAGGGTACTATTTGATTTTTTTAAATGGAACACCCTATTTTTCGTTTTATTTTCAGATTCTCCTGAAAAGCTGATTTCATCAATGTATTACACTTAGGGTCTAGCGAAAATGATTACAGAGATATAGGGTGTTCAAAATTGAGATTTTCCAACTTTAGGTTTTTTTTGTGACGAAACTATTCATTATCGGTCATGTCCGTATTTCCACCTTCGACTTACTATCTACTGACATTTGATAATTGGAACAGATACAGGGTGATCAGAATTCTGAATCTTGAACCACAATGTATATTATTATGTTCCAATTAAATGTCAGTAGATAGTAAATCAAAAGTTGAGATAGGGACATTCGAGCCGTTTTGAACAATGATGAATAGTTTCGACACAAAAAATTCCTAAAGTTGAAAAATCTCGATTTTGAACACCCTATATCTCTGTGATCATTCCCGCTAGACCCCAAGTGTGATACATTGATGAAATCAGCCCTTCAGGGACAACCTAAAAATACAATGGAATACAGGGTGTTCCATTTGAAAAAATCAAGTAGTACTCTGTAGATCGTTTGTTCAGAGCACCCTGTATTTTCTAATGCAACAGGAGAAAAAATTCTGAAAAATCATTTTGAATAATTGAAAATAAGTGAGCTAGAGGGGGGGACATTTATGGTGAATCACCCTGTACCAGTATTTCACCTGATGAAGCTCCTGTGTTAGCGAAACATGTCGTGTGATCGAGAATTTTGTGGAAATCTTGTCGTTTGTAAAGTTTTTACATGAAAAATAGTGTTGAATTGGCTTGTTCCACGAACATTAAATGAATTTCCTTTCATGCGTTCCAAGAGAAAAACAATAATTATTATTGTTATACATTCAGAAATGAATGATTTCTCGGGATGTTCGCTCGATTTAGGATTATGAAGTTTGAATACAAAAATCTCATATAGTTTACATACAATGCGCGAAGTATGTACTTCGCGCACTGCTTCGCAACGGATTTTTTTTTTCAAAATACAAAAATTGTCACCGTTTCCGAGATTGTTTTTGTAGTCACATGATATGAGCAGATTATTTCATGGGTAACAATATTTTAGTCACGGTTTTTTGTCTGCCTCCGCTACGTGTCTGAAGCTAAAATCTACTACTTTTTTCCCTTGTATAGAATAGAATAGAATAGAATAGAATAGAATAATTTATTTACCATAAAAGTGCTACAAAGAACACAAGGTTTTGTCATGAGTATAAATAAAATAATATAAACTAAGAATATGATATAAACACAAACTTACACTAACAAAACATACATGCATATACTGGTATGCATATACACATCTGTATAATATTTCAATAGAGCACATTTTTCAAAGAATTCTTTCAGGCTATAAAAACTGTTTTCTACTAGAAATAAATGAATTTTCTTCCTGAAAATATTCAATGTTGTAGCATTTCTTATTGTGACTGGTAGTTTGTTATATATGTAGCTCCCAGCACAGTACGGCGATTTCCGGTATGAACTGGTATTGAAATTCGAAATGTGAATTTCTTGCGCATATCTCGTGTGATACTTATGTTAAAGCAGGATAATTTGAAAATATATATTCCCGTTATTGTTAATATTTTCTGTTTTCTGAAGGTTTCCCTACATGTTTCTCGGTATTGCAAATCGAATAAAATTCTGACGATTCTCTTCTGTATAACAAAAATCCTGTCGATTTCTGAGGCCTGGCCCCATATTATTATATTGTAACTCAAGATAGAGTAGACAAGAGAATAATAACATGTCATCAAATCGCGTTGATTTATTTCTTTTTTCAAATTCAGAATGGCAAAAGTACTTTTAGCAAGTTTGGAGCATAAGGAGTCTATTTCTTTGTTGAAAGTTAAATTGGTATCAATGGTTGTGCCCAGAAATTTGACATGGTCACTTGTTTCAATTTCATCAATTTTTGGCAGAATATTTGTGTTTATCAGTGAGAAATTCATGAACACTGTCTTATGTACATTCATTATTAAGGAATTCCTATGACACCACGATTTGAATTGCATAATTACTATATTTGCTTTATTTTCCAATTCTAGCAAGTCGTTACCGTGTATAATTACTGATGTATCATCAGCATACATATATATATCACCAGAAATTACAAATTTTGGTAAGTCGTTGACAAAAATAAGGAAGAGTAGTGGACCAAGTATCGATCCTTGCCCAACCCCAACAGTCAATTCCATTTCTTCAGACAACTCTGAATCTATACTCACAACAATTCGCCTATTATGCAAATATGAAGCTATCCATTCTAGTGCTTTACCTCTTATACCTAATTTGTTCAGTTTGTATTCTAGAAAAGTTGAGCTAACAGTATCAAAGGCTGCCGTCAAGTCGAAAATAATAGTTATTTATTATACAAGGGAAAAAAGTAGTAGATTTTTCCCGTGTATAATACACTATTTTTTTCTGTGACAGAAGAAAGGACGAATCAATATTGAGAAGATATTACATTATTTTGAAATCTGAAAATTATCGACGTGAAATTTTAAGTTTTTAACAGTAGGGACACCGCGTTGTATTAGGCATCTTTATCATTCATTTGAAGTAATCAAATATCTGATGTCACTTCTGTCAGTCTAATTCTGTGATTTGATTTCAAAAAATTGCGAATTCAGTGGTTGTTCAGTTATATACGTAACCGCGAAGTCGAATGGAAGATAAAAGGACTTGCAGTTCTTTCTCGGAGACGGTATATTATTGACTCATTTTTCCCTGCCAACAGGGATGAAATGCCAAACTTTTTTCCGGTCACAGAAAAAATAACTATCATTATTACAGACAAAAAAACATTTCTGGCATTCTTCATCAGGACTTGTTCTACAGGGTGATCTAGGTTGAACGTAATTCATTCTGATAGTTGATAAACCAACGGGAAAGAAGTAGACTTTCATGGAAAATTGCTTGAATATGCTGTTCTTCGGAGAGTTGAGATAAATTGTAGAAACTAGAGGAAAAAATATAGAGAAATGAACCATCCACCTCCTCGATCAACCTACAGACAGTAAATATCGACCTGTTTATGAGTTTTTGTCAACAAAATTTTCTCCTCGAGATTCAATCTGTTTCGTTTTCGATGCCTCACCATCTTATCGTAATCATTTCATCTGTTCTCATCTTAGCTGCCTGCTTTTGATTGGGTGAGGCGATTATCGACAATTTTTCTTGGAAGGTGATGTTTCATATCGTTATAAAGATAAGAGATATGTAACTATTGAGGTATCGATTGGGAAAGGGAATGCTCACTTCGCATTCAATGATAGAACTGCCTAATAGTGACAGAGTTTGTTCGCTAAGAGGTAAGATTTTTTTGTTTTTATTTTGATTCCTATCATTTAATCTTTAGAAGAATTCTATGATAACTTAAAGTGGAGTGATGGAGTTCATGGATGAAAAACCCAAAGTCTTTTCAAAAATTCACTTCGAAATAATCAAAGATCATTAAAGGTACATGTTTCGGGCTCATATAGGGTGAGTCATGACTAACAAGCCATACCCAGCGAGCACAAACATCCCTGGGATGTTTTGGGATGTTTTGAAAATGTTGGCATGAAGATGTTATTTTGAGACGTAATATGCACTGACCAAAGAGGTCTTTGAAGGATATTGAAGTATCGTTTTTGTTCTTCTGTGGCATTTCTTTGTTTGCCTACTGAGAGGTATCCCTGGGATGTTTTGGGATGTTTTAGAAATGTAGGCATGAGGATGTTTTTTTCAGGCGTAATATGCACTTCCCAAAGAGGTCTTAGAAGGATATTGAAAGTATTGTTTTTGTTCTTTTGTGCCCTTTCTTTGTTTGCCCCACCACAACGTCTCATGCTTACGTCACAATACGATGAATTCTGATTTGTTTTCGATTTTGTTCTTCTTGTTCGCAAATGGCATTCGCGTTTGCAGCGTGTCACGCTTACATCACGCTGCTATCGAACAGAAAGGAATTTGGCGAAGTTTATTGTGTTAGAAGACTCATTTAGTTTGTAATGATGACCATCAGCTTCTCCGCAGTTGCAATATTATGCATCGTGGAGAACATTTCAAAAATTGGGAAACCTATTTCCAATTATATGTCTGTGTGTAGTAAGCACTACTCAGAAACCGATTAAGAAGGTAATTTCATATCAAGAAAACATTTTTATGTTCAAACCATTTTTAATGCATTTTTTCATTCAAGGGAAATGGAATCCTAATGCAAAAGTTCATTTTGACAAAATGCTTCAGAAAATTACCTCGAAAATGGTTTTTTTACAGCGATTTAATGTGCGCAAGACGCGTTGAAAATGTTCTGTTGTGTCCATGAAAAGGCTTTAAAAAGAACTAGGAAGAAGGTAGTTTTGTGACATATCAAGGACATCTCGATAATTGCCGCCTGCGGCGGACATTGGCTGTTCTATAATAGTTCTATTCATGTGTGAACAGAACATCGTAGTGGAGGTTCAATGTTTCGAAATCTCGTACTTTTAACATCTCTGAGATGTTTTTGTGCTCGCTGGGTAGCGTAATGGCGGATAGAGGAGGTCGTGGTGAGTTGATATACAGTGTGGTCATTTAAGTGTGCAACATATGGGAATCTTCTTAATGAATTGCACCATCAAGATACAGATAGTGCCGAAAATTGGTACATGTTCTTTGATCATTTCAGGTACACTTAGAAAATGGATGCAAGACGAACAGCATACAGGGTACGTCAAAAAATATAAAAAGAGTGAAGTACCCTTATTTCAGAACATTCAAGCAACATGTTATAGAGAAGAGCTGTTTACAATTGAAAGTTATGCGTTAATACCAAAACATGGCCTCCTAAGACATGTTTTAGTTTTTAACTCTTTAAGGTACAGGAATTTCGAAATATAACACCCCCTAGATGTACCAGCTTTATTTTTCTTCAGATTTTTAAGAGATTCATTAACAAACTAACTCCAAATGTCTCAAAAGATACGAACAAATATGAAAAAATTTCAGAATTTTCCAATTTTAGAAGAACTAAATATGTCTTAGGATGCCATGTTTTGGTATATAGACATAACTTCCAATTGTGAACAACTTTTCTCTGAAACATTTTGCTGAATTTTCTGAAATGAGGGTGTTTTACTCTTGAGCAATTTTTATATTTTTTGACCTACCCTGTATGCTGTTTGACTTCCAACTATTCTGAGTGCACCTAAAATGATTATCAAATTACCAAACATGCACAAACTTTCGGCACTATCTGTATTTTGATTTTGCAATTCATTAAAAAAAGATTCCCATATGTTGCACACTTGAATAACCACACGACTGTATATGTTGAAAATAGTATATTACATAACTAGTGTGGAAAGTGACATATTTCGCGCGAGTGGAAACGATACGACCGCAGGAAATGCACTTTCCAACGAGTTTTGTACCTACACTCTTTTTTCTACGACCACAAATATTTATATTATATGTCATGAGTGTTTATAAGACCAGAGTAGGGATCATGTTTCTAATCATATTCGATCACATGAAGGTGATATCATTTTCATTATTATTTAATTTTACTTCAATATTTAAATGACATCATTAGTTCAACGTTCAACTTAACATCAACTTAATATGAACTTGACATTAACTCAACATTAACTTAACATCAACTTAACATCCACTTAACATCAAATTAACATAAATTTAACAGTTTATCAACATTTACTTGAAATTAACTTAACGTTAACTCAACATCAAATCAACATTAACTTCAAATTAACGTTACATTGACTCCACATCAACTTAACATCAACTTAATAATTATTCAACATTAACTCAACATTAAATCAACATTAACTCAAAATTAACTTGACATTACCTTAAAATCAAATCAACATCAATTCAATATCAAATTGACATTAACTTTAATTAATTAATTAATCACTAAATTGCCAATACATTGACATTATTTCAACTTTCAATTGAAATTAACTTGATTTCAACTTTTCATCAACTTAACATTACGTCAACATTAACGACAATAACTCATGTTAAATCGACAATAACTTTCTATTAACTTGACCATAACTTAACTTACCATAATTCAGCATAATAATCATGCATTGGTACATCATAATTTATAGACCCTGTTACTGTGCGATTTTCGAATATTTCCACCTATGTGAGTTTTACTTTCGAACTTTCCAACTGTTATATGTTGTCATAGTGAAACGAGTCACTTTCTCAATAACAAATCAATGTGTTTTGTGCTGTTTTCATAGGTGGTCGTAGGAAAAATATATTTTGCTTATTCGTAACAGAAATAGAGGGCATTCTTCGAATTCGGGGCGAGGTTTTGATGAACGATATTTCAGGAACGTCTCGATGTTATCGGCTGAGATTAACCAGAAACTTACCTCTACTGACACCGCAAAATATGTCCTACTATGGATACAAAATTCCTGATCCGGAATTGGCAAACTCATTTTCTCTTTAAATGTCAATATCTAGACCTTCCCTAACAACACAGGAATGTCCTAGGTACGTCCCTTTTTTGTCCCGCGGTACAAGGACATGATTGGGGCATCCAGGGGATGTCCCGTGATTGTCTAGTGCACATCAAGCACGGTACATCCCTAGGTTATCCTATTCGTGTCCCTGAAATATCTGATATCCATTCACATCAGAGTCATTGAATTTCATCAGAATATTCAGTTGTAATTTTTTGGAAATGTTTATTTTTCATCCGGAAAACATTTGTAATGAAAATGAAAATTATAGTCTCAGAACTTCTCAAGGGATGACTATTTTTCGCAAACATCGTATATGCATAATGCCCCTCATTTTCAAACAAACAAGAATGATAATGATTATACATGAAATCCTAACAAAGTTGTATTTATTCAGGTTTCAGTTTTGTACTGTTCATGAGTCTGTTCAGTACTTAAATCTTCAGAAGCCGTATTAGACAATAGAGTGAGGTGCGGGCCTGATAAGCTGACGAAGGGATGTCCCTGGAATATCCTTGGGACGTCTTAGGGATAGCCTTCCTTCGTTCTTGGTACATCCAAGATACGTACCAGTCCGTTACCACCGATAAAACAAGGCCTGCATGCTCCGTGGGTGACGTCACTTAGTCAGGCCTAACCAGCGGCTCGAAACGACAAGCGCTTATAGCGCTATAAGGCGACCGCGTATTTCGATTTTAGTTTTAGATCATTATTGAGCCGATTTTGCTTTTTTTTGAAGGGCTTCCGGTTGAAAGAGGATGCCAGCCGTCAACTGAGCCCTTCTTCGCATCCCATTCGATTTTATTATGGAAAAACGAAGTTTCAAAGCAAACACCAGAATAAAACACAAATACCCACCTACAGCAACCCATTCGAATTAAATATATTGGCAAAAATTGTAGTGATTCAATCTCATTAGAGGTAAACTTCACACCTACTTATACAGGGCCCGCAGAACATAAACTTATCATGAGATTGATCGAAAGAAAATTGGGGAAAATGTATTTTAGTTTGATAGACATGCCGTTTGTTATTCCTAATTACCTATATTCATCTTGGAGAATTCCTATTACCTAAAAAATTAGCCAGTGAGTGTTTTCAATTTCCTGTTGTTGGATTTTTTACCCAATTGGTCGTTAGACTTGAAACAGTAATTTTTAAGTAGAGTGTTTGTAGTACATGTTAATATTATAGTTGCAATTTGATCATTGGAATGAATTCTGCATTCATTGCCACGAGGCAAATGACCGTTTTCAGAAAGAAATTTGAGAATGTATTGAGTCAGAAACCAAAGAGTCCAATGCATTCGAAATATGTTTCAAAACCCCCTTTTTCTGATTATCAAGACATTTTCCCGAATTATGTATCTCGTTTTTATCTATTTCAATTAGTAATTCCTTGATTTGATTGATATTATTAGAGATAAAAGGTGTTTTCAGATTGGCTTTTAGAGATGTTTGTATCGCTAGGTCATACAAAACATTCAAAACAAAATCAATCTCAACCGAATATGTAATTACGACCCCTGGAGAATAAGACAATTTGAAAAATGTGACTTTTTGCAAATCGATAATTTTGAACCACTTTTCGGGCAACTGAAAAGACTCTAATACAACTAGAAATTTTTGAAATTCTTTGTAGCGAAATGATTTTTGGTAATTTTTTACTTTTGGTGCTTGTGCCAAATTTTTAGTCTCTAGTATCTCAAGTTTTTCATCACGACTTGTGCGTAATTTTACATCTTTCGATAAATAAGATGGACAGTTGGGAAATTGAGTGGGAATAACATCTCGTTTGAGCCTAGGAATTTTCAAATCTATTGTTACAGTTTTGCCAGTTTTTGAATC